AATAATAATAATAATAATAATAATAATAATAATAATAATAATAATAATAATAATAATAAAGGGGGCATAGTAAAAAGGGTGAATACTTAAGAAAACACCAAAACAAGAGATGTAGCAAAGAACAAGTTTCTAGCTTCAATAGGGGTCAGTTAAAAATAAGTCCAATAAGCTAAAATATTCTATTATCTATAAGGATCTTTTCCATAATTTTACTTTACTTTCAAATCACTTACTAATAACATTATAGCTAGAGATATCATAGCATAAGTTTAGGGAGCAATTTAGATAGGTGGTAGATCTAAGCTATTCATAATTAGGACTCTCAAAGCTACTACTACTTAGAATTATCACTAATATATCTAGCAGGTACTTATACTATAACGTCAAAGTATAGCGAGTGGCCGAGAATAGCGAGTGACCGAAAATGCCAAGCCCCCATCAACTTTCACTACTACTCGCGATGTCTCAACAAATTCATTCAAAAAAGTCTTCAAAAGAGTCTCAAGTACAGCTTGCAATTCAGGCTATTAAATGCGACGCGACAATTAACATTCCACGCGCTGCAGCTCTCTACAACGTGCCTGAACGTACCCTAAGACGAAGACTCGCAGGAAAGCCTTCTCGACAAGATTGTTCGCCCAACTTAATGAAACTACTTATAACAGAAGAGGAGGTGATTGTTAAGAATATTCTTGATCTTGATGCAAGAGGATTTCCGCTGCGCCTTTCTGCTGTCAAAGATCTAGCTAATTCTTTGCTAGCTGCCCGCCACCGCGACCCTGTTGGCCCTAACTGGCCTAAAGCATTCATAAAGCGTCGCCCAGAGCTTAAGATAAAGTTTAATCGAAAGTACGACTACAAGAGAGCTCTCTGTAAAGATCCTAAGCTTGTGCAGGGCTGGTTCCGCCTTGTATAGAATACCAAAGCCAAGTATAGGATCTAGGACAACGATATGTATAATTTTGACGAGACGGGCTTTATAATGGGCATACACAACTCGTTAGCAGTAGTCACAGCCTCTAATCGTCGATTAAAGCCAAAATCTCTGTAGCAGGGCAATAAAGAGTGGGTTACCAGCGTGGTTTGTGTTAGCGCAGCTGGCTGGGCGATCCCACCCTTCATCATCTTTTAGGGCAAGCACCACCTCTCTGCCTGGTACAAGGAAGACAGCCTGCCTAGGGATTGGGTTCTCGCAGTCTCTAAGAATGGCTGGACAACAAACGAGCTCGGTATGAAGTGGCTAGAGCACTATAACAGGCATACAAAAGAGCGTACTGTTAGAGCCTATCGCCTACTTATTCTAGACGGTCATGAGAGCCACAACTTAGTCAACTTCCAGCAATACTGCACAGAAGCAAAGATTGTTACTCTATGTATGCCTCCGCACTCTTCCCATCTACTGCAGCCTCTTAATGTGGGGTGTTTTTCGCCTTTGAAGAGGGCATATGGGCGCCAAGCCGAGGAGCTAATGCGCAATGGGATCAACTATATGACCAAGATAGAGTTCTTGCCAGCCTTCTAGTAAGCCTATTTTTAGATAGTTACAAAGGATAATGTCCTAGGAGGGTTTCGAGGCGCTGGATTGGTTCCACACGACCCAGAGGTGGTGACATCAACGCTGGATGTTAAGCTGCGCACCCCTTCACCACCTGCTGCTAAAAATCTACACTGGCAGTTGCAAACCCTAAGCAACACCCTAGAAATAGGGCTGCAATTGATGCTGGTGAAGTAGAGGATTTAAATGCACCTAGATAGTTCACTAACAAGTATGCTAGGTGCTGTTAAAAACCTAGTTAAAGGTGCGACTACTATTGCGCATGAGTTGGTGTTAGTTAAGAAACGGGTCTCTAAGCTTGAAGCAGCGAATGAAGCCGCCACGCGAAGGAGATCACACAAAAGAAAGCGGCTACAGAAAGGAGAGACTCTAACGATTAAAGAAGGAGAGAAACTGGCAACTCTAAAGGAGTCTGGGGCGCGTGGTAGTGGGAAGAAGGCAAAGAAGGGAGAGAGCGCTGAAGTAGGCGAACCGTCGCAAAGGCGCTGTAGACGCTGCGGTGAGACTGGACACAACTCGCGCACCTGCAAGCAAGATAAAGAGGTTGATTCTGAATAGATTAGCCTTTTCTAATTTCAATTTACTGTTGTTGTTGCGCTGTAATGGTTGCGCAACGGTGGTGAGGTTGATGGGGGCTTGGCATTTTCGGTCACTCGCTATTCTCGGCCACTCGCTATACTTTGACGTTATATCTTTATAAGATCTTATTATAATTACGCTTCAAGCTTAGATTTTAGCACATAATTCAGAATTATATATAAATTACTTTTATATAACTTCGAAGCTTGTAGCTAAGAAAAAAAATCAACCCGTCTTTTTTTATCAATAATAAAATATTTAGATAACAAACTATAGATAAAAATAGAATGAAGTCTCTATAACAATAAAGTACATACTATAATAGAAACTTAAGTATTTAGCATTACTAGTTAATTTTTCTTATGTACTTATATTATATAGTTTTTCTTTCTTTATATTCTGATATATATATCTTTTTATAGCCGCTTAGTAGGTGAAAAGTATGTCTACTACGCTAAACTACTAGCTCTCTATATTTTAAGTCCATGCTCTACTTATTATCAGCTATTCAGATAATAGGGTTATTTAAGTTTTAAAATCTTTATTTTTTCAAACCCTTTTTTTAATGTCACCCCTGTTATAGGCGAGAGAGGCCTAACTAACGAGTATGCATTCACCTATTGTACAGAAGAAGAAAGATACAGAAAAGAACTATCAAGAGGGCCCTTTTTTATAGTTTCTACTCATATAAACGCTTAGACCTTTAGTGTTCTTTCTTACTAAAGTTTATTTATATATAGCTAACTACGTTGTTTAGTTACGTAACTAAAGTTATGTAATTTACTACTATGTAACCTATAGCTTATAC